ACCTCAAGAACCTCATTGACGCCCAGCTCGCCGCGTTGCTCCTGCACGCGCTGCAAACGTGATGAAAAGAAGCCAACGACCTGGAGGAAAAGGCAAAGCAAAGTGAATATAGAAAATAATTCCAAACTATATGTAGAAAATGTACCATATCGATATTCTGTATGACATCCTGGAACGCATGATGACTGCGGAAGCCCTCGAAGACGCTGCGCTTGTAGAGCAGCGTATAGACCAAGTTGGGACAGTAGACCAGCTGATTAGTAAGGCAGGAGTTTAGGATTTCCAGCACCATGCGCAACACCTCCTCCAGCACACTCAAATCCTGCATCATATCCTCGGGCGTTGTCGATACATTCACAAAGACGGCACTGTCCGCCGGCTCCTTGAGCTGGGCATCCAGGCGCGAGTGCTTGCGAGCGAGCGTCTCGAACAGGGATACCAAACGCTGCGCCACATACGGATGCAGTGCACGAAAATGTCCCGACATATTGGCCAGAGCAGCCAGGCAATTGGTGTGCAAATACTTGTCCCGCATCTTCAGCATATTGTACTGAATGGTGCGGATGACGATCAGGATGAGAATGCCGCCCAGCGATATTTCCGATATCGTGCGCTCCGTATACCAACTGATGTTCTTTAGCAGCTATAGAGCAAAGGGAGGATTAGTGAGAGGCGGGGATGGAGCGATCTCAGCGACACTTACAATTGTGTGGACGTTCTTGTTGAAGCCCTCGTCCTCGCTGAGAATGAGCAGCACGATGAGCGACATGTAGATGTGATGTGAATTGCTGTCGGGCGCATTGTATAGCGTTTGCAGTATGGGTATGACCAATAGTTCCAGATCCGGCTGTTGCATGACGAAGCGATAGAAGCGTTCGTTGCGATGCAGCAGCAAATAGAGCAACAGCGTCGCCTGGTCAATGGTCACAATGCGGCAGAGGGTCTCGTAGACGGCCGAGAAGTCAATTTGAAAGGAGACGGTGCCCTGTTTGGGCGAGTCCTTGGAGTCCGCACAGCCAAAGAGACTCGTGCGATAGGCATTATCCTGCGCCGTGCAATGATTCGTCAATATCAATATGAGCAAGAGACTCTGGTTGGCCAGCGGATAGTGTGTGCGAAATTGCTGCGACAGCTCCTCGCCGGTGGCATTGCTCGTCTTGAGGACATCCTGTTGCTTGCGAAACGTGAAGATGGAGAGCAGCGACTCGGCGATGCCAAGGACAAATGAGCCCGCCGACGTGGAGCCGAACATGGTGTGCGGCACCTCAATCATGCGTGCCACAAAATGCAGCAGCGCCGACATCAGGACATTCGCATGCTGGCACTTGTAGATGGTGCGAAAGACAATCGATTTATCTGTGGGCTGGGCAAACAGATGGACGGCGAGCAGCGTGATCAACGTGTTGACCGCCTCCAGGTGCAAATGGTAGGTGAACTCCTTGACGGGTATGACCACGATCAGATTGACCAGCGCATCGATAAACGTCTCGAACTTCGCACCATCCACAATGACCGCTGCGAGCGGCGCCTGTTCCGTGGCCTCGATGGCAATGCTGGCCACCTGCTGCTGCTGCTGTTGCTGTTGCTCCTCGGCCGCCTTAACCAACTCAGCATTTGGCAGTGCCTCGAAGTGCTGCAACAGCTGAAACTCCGAGCCCGTCTCATTGATGTACTTGATCAGGGTGCGGATGATGAAGAGCGCATTGAACGTCTGCCACACATGCATGTTGCTCTCCTGGTCGGAGAGGGAGAGCAGCTCGGTGGCCTTCTCGAAGAACACGGTGATCAGCGAGCCGAAGTTGCCCGTCTTCAGATTATTTCCTATAAACGATTGACATAGCGTCTCCAGGCGCGAGTCCAGGCTCAACTGATCCTGGCTGCAAGGCGACAAAATTGAGCATCATAAATTCAAGTCGCTGACATGTTGATCCGCTCACCTGTTCTCCGGCATTACGATATTATAATTGAGCAGTCCGTTCCAGAAGGCCTCATCGTCGTGCGCTATATGCTGCCGACCCACAAACCGTTGAAGCCATTCATTTGCAGCCAAGTCGGCATTTCTGCTGACGTTTATGCCCATCTTTTTTGGTTGTTGCTGCTGCTGCTGCCGCTGCTGCTATTGCTACTGCTGCTGCTGCTGCTGCTGCTGCTGCTGCTCTCCTGTTAGCTAGTTATTGTTTAGCACATTTGTTGCCACACGTCGGGGCTAAGAGCCGTTTTTACAATTTTACAAATAACAACAATTCTGCGTGTTGGCACTGAGGCACGTCACCCATTTATTTGTATGTGCTATTTTTTTTCTCTCATATGTTTTTGATGTGCCAGAAATCTCATGCTTTGCAACACTGCATGCAGCAAGTGCTGGCTGGTTCCGGAGCAGTTTCAAATAAACTTTAAACGATATCTATTGAATTAAAATCTTAAGCATTTAGATGAAAAAATAAAGGCTCATATTAATCAATTTAATTTTATCTAATCTATACTATGTTCTCTTGTATACAAAATAAGTATATAAAAAACATTTATCAACAAGTAGAAGTCGTTCGCAGCCGAACTAGTTGCACACAGTACTCATTTTGGTATTTGACGTTGCACAGCACTCTTTTCCTCTTCGTGATGTAAATTTTGCTCAATTTGAGTGCTTTTTCAAATTTTTTGAAAACTTGTATTTCGCTGACCGATGTTTTTGAGCGAATCCAAAGAGGGACTCCCTTTATTCTCCATTTTGACGAGATGGAGCACTCTGTGAGAACTGGATTAAATTCTGTCGGCGCACATATAAAATAAATGTCAAGCGGAAAACAATTTGTGTGGAGCACTTTTCGAGAGATGACTTTGAAAGAGATTAGCGCTACGAACTGAGTGTATAAAGCAAGCCAAGCCCTTTTAAATTGAAGTCCAGTGCTGAGTGGAGCAGAGTATTTGGGGCATGGATATGAGCAGCCGAAGACGAAGCCGGGACGAAGAATGGGTCTGGTAAGAAGAATGTTGTAGATGCTCTAAGCGAGCAGTTGAAGCTGGAGCTGGAAGGAGTAGGATGATATGGCAGAGTTGCTCATTGAGAAGGTGATCCAAGTGGTGGTCAATGCTGTTCTAGAAAAGGAAAAGTCTGTAACAGTTAATTTATCAAGAAAAGCCTGCCCAAACTAATTTCCTCTTCTGCGATGCGACAACCATTGAGAAGTTGCCGAGGAAGCTTACCAAGTGCAATGAAAGCTACAACGAATTGTAAGAGAATCTAACGCTGCAGCTGTGGGAGGCAACAAAACGCTGTCAGGAAGCCGACGATGATTCAGAGAACTTCAAATTGAAGGCGAACAGGGCGAAGCGCAACAGGTCGCACAGCAGCAGCTGGAGCAAGAGCAGGAGAGCTGAAGGTTATTAGAAGCTATATATTTAACGCAAGCAGATCATACGTTATATAAGCTAGATTTTAAACTGCGCTAACAACATCGATTGTGTAGCACTTGGACAACAGAAGATATAAAATTGGTTTTATAATAATTAAAGCATTTTTTAAGAGAATTTTTGTTGAATATTGCATTTTATTGCCTACGATAATAATTATAAAATATACATATACATAGATTTAAAGAACATTTTCTGACAATTTAGATTAGCCATAATTCTAGGAAAATCGTTATTATATAGGAGATTCTTTAAATTTATATTGATTCTTGATTATAAAAGGAATTTGTTAACTATGATATATACTGATAGTGTTATATAGTATATAGAACAGGAAGCATTATCGCTTAGCAATATTCATAAATGAAATCTTGATGCGAATGCTGGGAAATCAAAGTACGACAATTCCAACCTGATGATATGTAAATGCGAATTGCTTAAGATAATGCAATAACATGCATAATATAGATCATATTGTAGAGCGCATATTAGCTTAGCTAAACTGATAAGAAATTTGTTAAATATAAGGAACAGTTCGTGGACTTTGCTATATACTATATAGCATGCGAAGAAGATGAGGATAGCTATATCTTTTAGGGAAATGTTGATAAAACATGTGATGAGAATACGAAAGTTGACCATCTTTTAGGTCAACTCGGTTGTAAAATGTGAGAATATTCCTGTTATATGATATAATTGTTTGGAAATAATAAAAACATTGAATTTTGATAATAATGCATTTATTTGAAATATTAAATTGAACTAAAGCTAAAATAATAGTTGTATACTGCGCCGCGCTCCAGCAGCCCATATAATTTGGCAATTGCTTTTCCCGCCGCATCAATTGTTATTGTGTTTCTCTTTGTTTCCGTTATATTTTTTCACTTAGTCGTTTTCATAGTTGTTACAATTTAGATAATGCATAACTAAAAGATATATGTATATATATATATAGGTATATAAATATAGGTTCATATTGCGACTTGTTAACACATACTTTTATACAGACTATAGGTAATCGAAAAAATAAACAGTTAAAATGACTGTCGATGATGAGACGGGCTCAGCTTTTGAACTGCAACACTCACAAGCATCAACATCGCGATCATTATGATCATCATTATCAGTAGACAATTAACTATCACAAATTTTATTAAATTTTTGTCTCTCAGTGAGTCTGTACGCGTGTGTATGCTTCTCTCTGTCTGTCTGTCTGTGTGTGGGGTGTGTGTGTGTGTGTGCGAACAAGAAAATATATACATATACTAATCGTTGCATTTCAAAATATATCATTTGTACATATATATGTATATGGATGGTCTTTAACACACAAATTGCTTGTTCTTCTCTTTTGAACTAAACACTCCAGCTGATTAGCCATGTCGCTGTGTGCGTGCGTGTGTGTGAACGTGAATGTGTTTATATGGCTGATGACTTAAACTTAAGAAATATACACTATGGATAAGCATGAGAACTTAGTATGATTTTCTGGATGATGATTTGCTGAACATGGCTGAGGGACTCCAACTCCGACTCCGACTCTGGCTCGCATCCAAAATTAACGTTCGCTTGCGGCAGACGCCTCCATTGCTTGGCTTAGAGTTTGCGCATAGCATTGGATTTGTTGTGCTTCTTGGCCAACAGCTGCTTCAGGCTGAACGAGGACAGCGCAATGCCAAACAGGGCCAACATGGTGGCTGATCGGGTCACCACACGATTGGGCGCCGACGAGCTGGTGGTGAATGCATGGCTGCTATGCGTCGAGGCCTGTGCGGAGAGCGGCGGTGCCTGCAACGAGATTGATAAAACGTAATCACAAATTAGATAAAATCCCACTTGAATCCGTTACGATAAACAGGTATGTATGGTTAGCAAGTCTTATCAGTTTTATTTTGTTTGCTTGGCTTTGCTATTTTTGGATACGTCAAACGTTAGCCAAATTGGCCAAATGCCCAAAATGAAAGAATTCCGTTGTCGGTTTCTACTACGCAGCAGTTGCAGTTGGCAACAAAAAGAGGCGTTTGTCTGGGTGGGCGTGTCAGACAAGTTCAAATGCTGATGGCACTGACGAATTCCCACGTTCATTGAACTGATTAACGAATTATCGTGTAATCGCAATGTGGTTGAACTTGTAACACCTGCCCGACTTATTCTACGTGTACAGTTATCTGTATAATTTATGAATGTACAGCCCCCAGCAACGTCTCTGATGTAATTGTCGTTTTATGGCTGTTGTTGTTATTGTAACAATTAGTTGGGTGTTTGCATTCTCAATGTTAGTTTCAAAGACGCAAAAAGCTGGAGACTCGTGGCAGGTGACGTCAGCAGACGGCACAGTGGTCAGAGGCTGAATGAATAAACGCTGAATTTGCAGTTGGTTTAGAACTGGTTAGCTGAAGACAAAAAAATTGTTTTTTTTTTTGGACAAATGACAGGGAATAGAATTTTGTAGTAAGATAATATTTATTTTATGTATTCATTGTTTGTTTAATGTTATCAGAGTTTTAACAAAATTTGTTTACTGATATTTGTAATAGGTTTTTACAAATATTTCTCTTTTTTGTTTGGCTTGAATTACATCTTACACAAAATATTTTTGGTTTAGGCTATTATATATTTTAAAATAAAATTTTTATACTTCAAAATCTATTTTTGTTGCAGCTTTTTCTATTTTTGTTAATTTGTATGCTTTTGCATGAGGCATAGCTATTATTATTGTTTTATTTATATTATTATCACATTTGTTTAATTAATCCCAGATTTTTGTTTTATAGCTTATAGTTTATATAGATTATCCGATTATTTAGTTTTGTACTCATTCAATAGCCTTTGTACCACTGTTCATTTCAGTCATCTGTCAGCGGCTGCGCTTCGCATCGAATTGCATCTCGTGGCGCATTCGCGCTGACCCGCTTGCCTCCTTTCTCTGCTTCTTTCTTAATCCGCAATTTCTCGCGGCGCTATCGCCCGATTTGGCGAACATTGCTCGACATGCGGTGGACGCGTGCCGGGCATAAATAAAACGGTGACCGTCAAAAATCTCGAATGTTTTTATATAAATGGGAATTGTTTGCATACACTCACACGCACACACACACAGACTCTCTTATATTATTGTAAATTCTGTTTGCGAATATTTCCAAATATCACTTTTTGTTTTTTCGTTTCTCTCTGCTGTGCATTTGCATAGTGAATCGCTTCCTGCTCCACTTCCGGTTCCGGTTCACTTTCAGCTTTGCCCTACTTCTGCTTGTTGATGCGTTCCAGTGTCTGCTTGATATCTTGAGTGCTGATTTGGGGGGTGGCTCCACCGCTTGAACTATCCGGGCGGGTGGGTTGCCTGGTGCGTTTGGGCCGTGCACTTTGCACTGGTTGCGCTTTTATGGCATTCAGGAACCTGCTAGCGGTTGTACTGGAAGTTACATTTGTTGTGGGTCGCTTCGGCTGCAACTCTGCAGACGGCAGTGTGGATGCCTTTCTCGGCGGTGTCTGAAAGATACTCGCCTTGGGCAACTCCTTTTGGAGTGGTTTCATGGGCGTCGGCAACTCCTTTTTAGATGGGATCTTGGGTACGGGCAACTCCTTTTCGACTGGAGTTTCAAGTGTGGGCAACTCCTTTTCGAGTGGGAGCGTGGCCAACTCCTGCGGAAAGGAAATTGTGTAGGTAATGTCACCAGCCTTGGCACTCAATTGATAGGGAGAAGCATTCACAGGATCGAGATTAAATGCAGTTTGCTCTGGTGGCTGCTCCAATTCACCAAATAAATTCGGCATAGATAATACTGTGTCAGTTGTTGTTGTTGCAGGTGGATGAGATTCTTTCAGAAGATCCTCAATAACATTGCTGCTCGATGGGACATTTGGTGTTAAGCTGGAATCACATTTGGAATTGTTACCAGCCTTGGCACTCAATTGATAGGGAGAAGCATTCACAGGTTCGAGATTAAATGCAGTTTGCTCTGGTGGCTGCTCCAATTCACCAAATAAATTCGGCATAGATAATACTGTGTCAGTTGTTGTTGTTGCAGGTGGATGAGATTCTTTCAGAAGATCCTCAATAACATTGCTGCTCGATGGGACATTTGGTGTTAAGCTGGAATCACA